GCACATGGATAGAGACAGTATTAAAGTCCCTATGTGTTTAAGGAAAGTCAGTTTGTGTAGATGGAATGTAAAATGACAATCTGGGCAGAGAGGAGGCTGATGAGGCTAACAACAAGTAGACAGGAGGACGGTCAGGAAGGTCCTCAAATATCATATATACAAGTTTTTTAACTTCATCCTGAAGAGACTAAGATCCTACTAGAATTCTAAACTATTTTTCTCTCCTTATATTGTGGGGGGACTTAGGAGTAAAAGCATATCAGATTTTAGATACTAGAAAGTACACTAGAAGTAGTATGAAGGATAAATTATTTAAGGAAAGGAACTATGGTTGGAGCAAGACTACAAGGAAAGGTGCTACTGAGGAGACTATGACAATTGTGCACGCATCCTTCCAAACAGCCAGTATTTACTGAGTGACTATCATGTGTTGGCTGCTAGGAATAAATGAGTGAACAAAGACAGAATCATAACTAAACCAGCTTCAACACTGATGAACTAGAACTCAAAGAGTTATTCATGAGGAAGAAGTAAAAAGACCTGGTAACTGCAAACAAAGAATGGAGAGGCTGGAAGAATGAGATCTTGGGGTCTGGGTATATGGTAGTGCCATTCATCCTAACAGGGGACTCTGGAGAAGAATAAGGCCTTTTGCACTATGTCTACACCATAGTTTTCAAAGTGCTTACAGGCCATTCAGGGAGAGAGGGCCATAGGAAGGTGATAATGGACATAGTTAGAGATTTAATTTGGTAGTATTGATACTGTGATATAATAAGAAATATATATTTTGGTCTTCTACACCTCCTAGTTCACCAGTCCTAAACCTCTTGGAATTTCCTAAGTGACAAAAGCCATAAAAACTAAAAGAAGGGCCATAACAAGCTCCCTCCAACTAAAAAAGCAGAGTTTATGTTAATAAGGTGACTTCTGCAAAGTCTCTGAGGATTGACGGAGAGGTAGCGGGGATGGTGTTGAGGACGGCTGGCTGTCACAGGAACCAACACTGTAATTAAAGGGCTGGAACTTTCTGCCCCATTCCTCACCTTCTGGTTGGGGAGATGGAATGGAGGTTGAGTTAAGCAACAATGACCAAAGGTTTAATCAATCATGTGTACATTACGAAACCTCCATTAAAACCCCAACTGAAGGGGGTTGGAGCATTTCCACGTTGGTGAAGAGTGGAGGTGCAGGTCATCAATTTACTTAATAGATCATGGGTGTGGGTATATATATATATCTGATGGCTTGTTTCTGATTAACAGACTTCTTTATCTTAATTTAAAACATCCAAGCTTTTAGAAAGAAACTTAATTTCTTTAGCCAATCACAAATCAAAGAATGTTTAAACCCTCCTATAACCTGGAATCCCCTGCTTCAAGATGTTCTGCCTTTTCGGGCCAAACCAATGTACACCTTCCATGTATTGATTTATAACTACATGTAATTCCTGTCTCCTTGAAATGTATAAAACCAAACCATAACCCAACAACAGCGAGACCACTTGCTCAAGGCTTTTTGAGTGTGGCTCTCCAGGCCATGGTCACACATATTTGGCCCTGAATAAACCTCTTTAAATTGTTTTACAGAGTTTGGGTCTTTTTCCATTGAAAGCAGGATTTGAAAAATCAGCATTTTCCCCCATTTTTGTTTAAATAAGTAACTGATCTGACTTTTTTTTTTTTTATCTTTTATTCTGGAAATAATAGCCTCAAATAATAAATATTAAATGAAAGTTAAAATGAGTTACTTAGAATCGAACAAGCTCTATAGAAGTCAAACCTTTATCACTATAAATATATTCCAAGGAGATCTTTATAAATTACATGTCTGAGTTCCAAAGGAATGACAGGCCCTTCTTAGAGATATAGATACTTGAAAATTCTTAAATAGTGAAAATGCTACTTTTATTTTTGCCAATAAATGTGTGAACTAAAATAAAATCTAAAGTCCCTCAGCTGAATGAATGGACCCCCATTGGACAAGCCAACTCTAGAAATACCCTAAAGCTGAGTTGCTGGCCATGAGAAGGTAGGTCAGACATGGCTCCTTGTGCCCCCTTCTGTTCTTGGAGAGATCCTTTGTAACTCATTAACAGACCTAAGGCTAAACAAGGCAAAGCTTAAACCATACCTGCAGGCCATCAATTTACTCAACAGATTACTTGAGTTTCAGTAGCTTGTCTGGGCTTAACAGACATCCTTATTTTAAGTTAAAACATTCCAAATCTTTAGATAACCTCCATTTCTTTAACCAATTATAAATCAAAAAATCTTTAAACCCTATCTATAAGCTATAAGACCCTGCTTAGAGATGTCTGCCTTTTGGGGCCAAACCAATGTACGCCCTCCACATATTGACTTGGGCTCTTCTGTGTAATTCTCATCTCCATGAATGTATGAAACCAAACTGTAACCCAACTTACGTGGGCACATTTTCTCAGGATTTCTTGAGGCCATGTACTCTGGGCTGGTCACACACATTTGGAACAGAATAAACTGTTTTAAATTATTTTACAGAGTTGTTTTTTTTTTTTTCCCCTCATTAACTGATGTAATAGTAGAGGTCTGCTCATTTGTTGTCTGTCTATTTTTTTAATCCTAATGCCACGTTATTCCATCCTTCCTTAAAGTTCTCCATTTCCATTTACTTACTTAGGGTAGGTTAAAACCACAGAAGTAGTGAATTGCAAGTGACACAGATGTTATTAAATTCAGTGTCCTATAATCTCTTCCATGGCATTCCTGATGAGGCAAACATGTAATATCTGCTGCACTTTCTCTTAAAGTGAAAAGATTTTACTATAATCTCAGCTGGTAGAGCACTCTTTTTTGTTTTTAAATAAAGCTGTGATTTTTTTTAAAGATAGAAAATAGGCCTCGAATGTTGAATCCTGATCTGCTCCTTCTTTACTTTGGGGAAGACACTTACCCTCCCAGATCTTGTATTCTCATTTGTATGATGCAGAGCATACTATGTCACTGCATGGTTGTGAGAATAACATGGCATATTTCAAAGTGCCTTGTGGAGAGCAGTTTCTCATGAAATATTACATCCTTCTAGGAAGTTCCTTTTTATACTGCAATGAGATTTACAGCATGTTACTCTGTTTCCTTTAGGAGCTACACAAAATTAGTCTTATTCCTTTATAACCTGTGACTGCCCTTTGAACACTAGAAGACAACTTAGCGAAGTTATGTTTTCAAATGCCAACTATCACATTTCTTCCCACCAGATGGTTTTAATAATGACTTGGGAAAAAAAATCAATGGTAACCTTCATTAGAACAACTTATCAAGTCTCTGTTTAGGGTTATTTAGTCCAGCAAACATTTACTAAGTGCTTACAATGTGCCAAAAACTATGCTAGTAGCTAAAGATTAAACTAATTAAGAAATACAGTTTTTCCCTAGAAGTTAATAATCTTTTAAAAAATAGATAATACCACAAAACAGTTGTACATATAGCTATATGCTAATAATTATGTCATATGAAAATTGCTATGTAAGTAAAACTGAAAAATCATAGAGAGACATCTGTGCTGGGTTCTTCATAGACGGCAATTTTTAAAAGCTCAGTCTTGAAAATATTCATTAATCAATTCATTTAGCAAATATTCACAAAAGACCTACTGTGTGCTAGATATCATACTAGTTGCAGGGAATAAAAAGGTGAATTGGGGGGGGAGGAGTGCCCACTGCCATGGAATTTAGAATCTAATTTATGACTATTCCAGTTCAATGTCATAATTATTTTATTATATTCTAAGAAGACCAACGTTTCTACTTGATACATGAATGAATAACCATTTCTTTGTGTTACAGGATTCTTTGCTTTTTAAGTTTGATATCTTATAGTGCACCCACCCCATCTAAAATTCTAGATAGAAGGAAACAGACAAAAAATTTAAAAGCAGAGCATACTTTCCTCTCCCTTATCATGCTACAAAGATAAGTGAGGTATGTGAGTGGTCTTTAGAATTTTAAACAGTGAAGACCAGTGACCAATGTCTGGAAGTATCCCAGAGACTGCAAAGCTGTACCAGAGAGGCTAGAAGTAGGAAATTCAATTAAAAGTGCGTCAGGGGAGGAAGATGAGGTCACAAGAGCATATCTAAGAGGCAGTGCTACTAATGGCAAGCCACTTCAGGTGAGGTGAGGGGCTTTATGTACTCCTTATACCAACTACCAGCAATAGTTTGTTATATATAGTGTTCAGCTCCTGAAGTTTTACTGTGTCAAGAGGGCTTACAAAATGTTAGGCTAAATGAGGAAAATCTTTTTTAGTTATTAATCTTAAAAGGTATTCCTAGGAATAATAGATACTAAGTAGAAAAGTACAATATTTATAATGCAAGTCCTTAATGACAGAAATTCAACTTGGGGAAAGAAGTATCTACCATAATAGTATTTCTTTTTCTCTGTTGTCCCACTATACTCCCAGAGCATATCTGGAAAACACACAGTCGTTTCATGTATGCAAGAGTTATTACTGTATGAAGTTGATGAAATTGCAAATGCTGCATTTCAGCCATACTGAGACAATGATGGCAGATGTGGCCATCAGTTATTTGAAGGCAACACTATGGTGTGACCAAAACAGTACTGGCCTTGTGTTGAAACCACAGCTGCTGTGTCAACCAGTGCCTGGAAGCATGCCAGGTGGAGTGAGCGTGGGACAGAAGCAATGCTTCTGATTGAAGTATTCAGAAGAGTAGAGTATGAAAGAATGCTATGTTAAACTCTTGTAAGAGCTTGATAACACGTCTCCTGGACTCCAGCCTGGCACCTCTCCCCACTCAAATTTTTCTGCCATATTTTAGATTTAAGCTATTTGATGAAAGAGGTCATGTCATTTTTGTACGTCTAGTAGTACTAAGTACTTATTTAGCATTCAATAAATGTTTGCTAAACTAAGGTAGAATTATTCAAGAGCTAAAGCAAACCTAGGGAGGGTACTTGGTTACAATGTCCAGTGCCACTATTTGACACCTTCACTTACATATTCTCCATAGGTCTCTTGTGTTGGGGGTGGCGGTGGAGGTCTGTATCCAGTTGGAGGGACTCCTCTTGCTCTCGGAGTGAGAAGTCCTCTTCCCCGACTCACTGGCCCTCTGGTAGACAGGACTCCCCTGGGAGTTGGTGTCCCTCGTGGGACACCAACTCCAACCGGCCGGGCTGTGACTCCTCCCCTTCCCCTGCAAGCAAGAGGGTCAAATTAGCAATATGTATCATGTTCTGTAATATTCCTTTATTCATATATGTTTAAACCTCAGAAAAATCAATGTGCTATATTTCTGTAAAAAGGAGTAAGGAAATTATAAACAAAATAAAAACTAAAGCAAACAAGAAATAGTTATCTACCAAAAGGAAGTTAAGTCATTCAGGCAGTTAGTCCAGCAATGATATGGTAATATCAAAGAAGTTCAGACTTAATATCTGGCTAGTATGCACAGCAGGAAGCTATGACATCTGGAGAGGCTGTGTGCACTGTTGACTTCCACATGATGACGTGCCAGGATCACACCATCAAGTGGGCCTTACCTTGCTTTTCTATGGACAAGGAAACTGAGGCTTGGAGAGCAAAGTCAGGGACCAAAACATATGCCACAGTTCCACCAGAGAGAGAATAAACTGTACTTTCTCAAATAATGTATCACCTACATGGTAATATAAAATAGCATTCTTAAGTTAAATAAATACAAGCATTTTCTAAAATAGAATTCAACATATTCATGTATTTCTAATGTAAAACATGAGACTTCAAGTCAAAGAGGAAGAAAGGAAGTGGCTATATGAAGAATGGCCCAACTTAAGCAAAAACCTGAGAAAATGGGCAAGTTCTATTTGAAGAAATAAGTACAGAAAAGGGTGTCCACACCAGAGAATAAAGACACAGCCTGATCTGCCACACCTATAGAAGGTCCACTAAATAAGAACTGCAGCAGATAATGCTGGTTGTCCACAGATCAGTTCCCTCATCCATCAGTGTGTTTGGAATGGCAAATACACAGTTAAAAACTCATCTTACAAAAACAAAAGAGAAAATTAACAAAACCAAAAACTGTCCTTGAAAAGATCAATAACCCAACTAAAAAATGAGCAAAATACCTGAACAGACACCTCACCAAAGATGATATACACAGATGGCAAATAATCAAATAAAAAGATGTTCAACATCATTTGTCACTAAGGAATTACAAATTAAAAAAAAATGATACCATTTCACACCTATTAAAATAACTAAAATAAAAAAATAATTAGATATACCAATTGTTGGTGAGGATGTGGAACAAAAAGGAACTCTCATTTATTCCTGGTAGGTAATAATAAATAAATAAATGTATGGTGACAGCAATGTTTTTCCGGTTACAGTGGATGTTATAGATAAGCAAGGGAAAGAGACTACAATGATCAATGTGGTAACAGATGAGAATCAGAGACATCAGTATAAACTCATGTTCAGTTTACTATAGATACAGATGGTTAAAGAAATAAGCATAGTTATATATATATAGATATGGGTTATTATACACACATATATGTCCTTGCTCTGTCAGCTGAGAGTCTAGAAGCAAGGATATTCCAGTAGCAACAAACAGAACTAGCATCCCAATTTTGGGTCCTAAAACCACTCCCCAATAAACAGAGTTAGAGTTCCTTGGAGAAATGTCTGATTCTAGGACTGGAAGTAGAAATACATACAAGATGAGTGTGGAGCAACTGGTAGTGCCAGAAAGTAAGGAAGTGCTAAAAGAAATAATAAATAAATAAAAACCCCAAATCATGGGGATATGTCAAAGGAACAGAAGAACCTACTGAAAGAATTCCCAATGGCCAACACTAAAAGAAGCTGGGCAAGAAAATACAGTAGTATTGGGTTATAACCCAATGTGTAAAATTAATATTTATGAGTCTACATTGATATAAATAAATCACTGAATCAATCAATAAATAAGGGAGAAGGGATAAATCTTCCAAATAATTTCTGTAAATATTCCACCCACCAGGTGAACTGTAATTCCTCACTTCTTAAAGAGGGATTCTCCATAATGACTCCCTTTTCAAAGATGCAGTGGACAGTGAGAAAAAGGAACAATACCCTTATGGTGGTGGAGAAGCCTGACAGATACCACCTCAGCCAGGTGATCTTAACATAAGCAGTGAGAAGTCATGTACCTTGATATGATGTGATGAAAATGGCATTCATTCCCCAAACCATAACCCAAGGCTAATCATGAGAAAAATACATGACAAAATCCAACTGAGAGACATCTTACAAAAGATCTGATCAACACGCTTCAAAATGGTCAAGATCATTAAATAAAGTAAGTCTCAGATACTGTCACAAGCAAGAAGAGACTGAGAAGACATGACAACTAAATGTGATGTGGCATTATGTGGAAAAAGGACACTAGATAAAAACTAAGGAAATCTGAAATGGACTGTAGCTAATACTGGGTCAATGCTGTAGTTAATAATGTGGCAATATTGGTGCATTAATTAAAAGAAACGAGCCATACTAATATAAGATATTAACAATAGGGGAAACTACACATGGGTTATGTGGAAACTTTCTGTGCTATCTTGGAAGTCTTTCTGTAAAACTAAGGCTGTTTTAAAATACCAATAACATTAAAAAAAAAACAACAACAAAACCCCCTCAGTTTTGCAGCTTTCTTGCAACCATGAGTAGCTTGTGATCCAGTTTTGGCCAATGACACATTAGCACTGAGTGAGATTTATGGGAAGCTCTTTGAAACTATAGTTGGCATTCTCCTTTCCCTTCTTCCTGCATGTGATGTGGACATCGTTGTAAGATGACAGGCTTACAGACAAAAGTGACAAGCTAAGAAAAATACAGCCAAAAGCTAGAGGAGGCCAGGACCCAGAATGGCAGTGTGGGGTTGCTGATAAAATTTCTACTGGGTGAAGCCACCATAAGTGAATATTTGGTATTAGCAGTTGAACCTAATTTTAACACAAGAAATCTGAAGCAATTAAAAGAAATACCATTTTTTTCTCCATAAATTAACCTCAACCTTACATAACCTTTTCATGAGTAATGTAAATTAGTTTTTCTTTTATTTTATCCTAGGCCATAAATATTGCTAAAGTACAAATGTTGGTCGAGAGTCAAGGGCACTGGAATCAGATCTGAATTCAATTCCTCATGTCCTTGCTAGCTTAACTTTACCTGCCAGTTAACATTCAAACCAACCAAGAGTCAGAACTTTCCAAGCCAGTTTCCTCAATTGTGAAATGGGGATATAGAACCCACTTCTTAGTGTTATTTTGAGGGAAAAATTACACAGTACATATAAAGTATTTGAAATGTTTTTTGACTCAATAAAGATCAACAATTTATATATAAATTTCAATCATTTTGAATATACTGACAGAGACACTATAATTTCTGTACTGCTTTACTTTGTATCTCCAGTATATATCAAGAAATATCTTCAATGTGATGAAGAAGTAGTTTGTAGATATAGTACATCTAACTCTTTTGTGCTACTTCAATTAACTAGCATATACATAAACTACTAAATTCAGGTTTCCTGCTTCCTTATCCAATACTCCACCACTGCCATCCAAGGTACTACATGGACCACAAAATATTCAATATGCTTCTTGAATATACAAATGTATGGCTTTCATCAAATTGAAAGACATAAATTTATATATTCAAGAAGTTCAGAAATATTTTCCATAATCATCAATATTCTTCGTTATGTGTCACTGGGTGTATGGAATCATAGTAAGGTATTATTAGCTGCTATAGAATTTGAGACAAGTCATTTGATATATCTAGTCATTCTGGATATCTAAAAGATGCTTTGAAGATTAATTTTTTTAAGTGTTGAAATTCCACAGGAATGGTGTTAAGCAGCATAGAATTAACATTGCTTTAGATGACACTGGTGGGTGAATGGCATGAAGAGTGGCTTGCTAACATAAGAATCTTGTCATATCACAAAGCATTCATTGAGTGCTATAAATGACATTCAGGGTAAAGTGGAACAGCTGGACTGACAACATGGCATAAGAAGAGAAGAAGTTTCTGTTGGATGACATTTAAATTGATAATCAACATGATTTTTTTTAAACTTGAAAAGTAGATCCAAACTGATACAAATAGGGTGCCACACTGCTCAGAATGAGTGTAAAAGAAGAGCAAAGTTTCAAAAGCAGATGAATGAATGAACTGTAAGGGGTCTTTCTGTCTGCGTGTTTTAGGTGGGTAACCATGGTTTTTGGTCCTGAAATTCAGATATGAAAAAAAAAAATCTATAAAAGATCTTGTAGTGGAAAACTCTCATGGGAATACATACTTTGAATGAATACAAGAAAATACTGACTCATCAGAAACGACTTAGTTTATAGATGAATAAAGGTATTAAATGTGATGAAAAAACACATGCTTTGGGTTTCAACATACCCATACTTGAATTTAATTTTGTCACTTGATCTCTTGAGCCTAAGCTTTCCCAACTGTAAGATGGGGTTAATGATAATGCTCTCTTGCAGAATAGCCCTGAAGTTTATGTATAAGGTATGTAAAGTGCCTAGCTGTACATACCCTATAACAGGCACTTGGTAAGTGGGAATTACTATGTATACTTTTGCTTCTATAGACTTTCTTTTGGCTGCTTACTGAAAGACAAATAGAGCAGACAGAAGGTACAACTCATGTCAGTTCTCATTTTATACATTTAGCAACAGTAATGCGGTCTGGTAGAGTAAGAGTTTATAAATATATACTAAATCATTTGGCTTTTATCTATAACTTTTATAAGCAGCAGCAAAGTATAGCAGGTAAAAGAATGGGTTCAGTGGCAGAAGCCGGGACCGCTAACACTAGCTCCACAGCATTACTAGTTTGGTGTCCCTGGGAAATACAGCTGACTCCTGGGGCTCGCGAAGGGCAGCGCCCATGGCTGACTACAGAGTGGGACCTGTGACAGGGTCCTAACCTGATATTGCTGGTATTACAGTGACGAAAATCTTCTCACAGATCCATCTGAGATCCATGCCCTGATGCAATAACGATGAGGGATAACTGCATTTTTCCTATGGAATCCTTAACACATTTGACAATCGTTCTTGATTCCTGACAGTGCTTTTTGGTGAATAAAGCTTAATCATTCTAAGGTCTTTTTCCTTGCCTAGGGTTGCTACGGGAATGGGAGAACAG